GTCTGGCACCAGTGCCTGGGTGACCGAAGGCTCCCAGGGAACCCTTTCTCCCTCACCCACCTGTCAGGGATTCTGAGTACAGAAGTATAGACCGGTGTGATTTGGGGGAATGTCTCCACGTTCTGTCATTCGGGGAAAAAATCCCGCAAATTAGCGGCATGATAACGAACAATATCCACTTGACGTGAAGGATTTCAGTGCTTGAGGAACAGCAACCACAGAGAGAGAAGAGAGAACCTGGGCTGCCTCAGACAGGTTTCCCTGCACTGCACCTTCTTCTGAGCACAGTCCCCCAGTGGCCAGACTAGGGGAAGTCCCAGAAGGCACGCCCTGCCTACACAAGCATATGACTCCAGCCTGCCTGGCTGTCCTAGTGCCCAGTCCCAAACCACCTAGCTCACTACCCTTCCAAGATTCCCTAGGCACGTGGCTGGAGGGGGAAAAATGGAGTCTTATGTTCCCCAGGCAGGAGAGGATTCTTAAGAAAATAAATAATAAAGATCTCTCCAAATCCCTGGAAGATTTGGTAACCTAAAACACAGTCAATCCACATTTGTGCTTCATTCATGAATCAGCCACTAAGTCTGCAAGCTCACACATACTGGTTGGTTGGTTTTGAAAAAGGGTCCTTGCTTTATTCTGAAGGTTGGTCTCAAATTCACAATGTTAATCCCAGCTGGCCTCAAGTTCCTACTGATCCTCCTGCCTCAGCCTTCTAAGATGCAGAGATTACAAACATAGGCCACCACACCCAGGCTGCAAGCTTGCTCTTGCCCAGTTCTTACCTACGAAGAAATCTTACCCTAGCCTCCAGTTGACTTCGACAAAATATTTATTAAATGTCTTGTACAGGCCGGGCTTTGTGCTGGCGGCTGGGGATTGTGGCCTCTATCTTTAATAAACTCTTAAGTCCAGCAGGCAGAGGAAAACATGGAGTTCAGTGTACTACAGAGACCTCTGCTAGAGTCGGGCGCGTAGCTCATCATGCGACATCACGAGACTGAGCCCCTGCTGACACCGTGCCAGCAACAAGGGACCAGGAGACTCTCCAGGAAGGAAATGACATTTGAGCAGGACAGGTCCAGGAAGGAGGAGGAGGAAGGACGGGGAAAGTAGATCCAGGAAGTGATGCTCAGCCATGGCATGCAGTCCAGGGGTGCCATGGCGTGCAGTCCAGGGGTGTCAGGAGGAGGTGGGGAAGCCAGGAGGCTGTGAAGGCTCTAGAGAGAAGGCTGAGGACACTGGAAGAATCTGTTGTCACAGGACAGTCCTGACCTCAGCCATCCCTGTCAGAGTCAGCAATCATGCTTCTCCCCCGTGAAAAGCCAGACTCCCTGTCTCTGGGCCTGGCAAAGCCACTCCATAAATGTCTGCTTGGAAAATTCCGTATGCTAATGAGGCAGTTATCTGACCCACGGCACACAAGGCCCATCAGTTAGCCTGGCTAACTGGATCTCCTCTAAGGAGCCGCAGAGCAAAGCTCTGAATGCACTCTGGCCTCCCCCACGTCCCCGCCCCACCCCGGAGTTCCCACGCAGCTGATTATGAACCCAAGGACCTCACAACCCCCAAATAGGATAAATGTTGCCTTCAGAGTCCCGTGAAGCTCAGGAAAGGCCTGATCAGACAGTAGATCCTGTGTCGGGAACACTAAAAATCTTTTAGGTAGAACTGGGTGGCAGGGTCCCTCTGTAGCCCTGGCATGCTGGGCATTGCCTATTGCTCCAAGTGGCTACTTGAATAGTGTCTTTGTCACACTTTTTCTTTAATTTACACGGAGACTTTCCAAACTGTGACTCAGAAGCTGAGCGCTGGCCAGGCACAGTGGCTTCTGCCTGTAATCTTAGCATGTGGTAGGGAAGCAAGAGGATCAGGGATTCAAGGGCATTCTTGGCTATATGGCAAGTTCAAGGCCAGGTGAAGGCCCCTGTTGTCAAGCCTGAAAACCTGAATTCCATACCTGGGACCCACATGGTGGAGACAGAACTGATTGTTGTCCTCTGTCCACACATATTCTCATAGTGTCTACTTACACACACTATAAATTTTGTTTTAAAAACACTGATTAAGGGGGCTGGAGAGCTCAGAGGTTAAAAGCATTGCCTGCTCTTCCAAAGGTCCTGAGTTCAATTCCCAGCAACCACATGGTGGCTCACAACCATCTGTAATGGGGTCTGGTGACCTCTTCTGGCCTGCAGGCATACACACAGACAGAATATTGTATACATAATAAATAAATAAATACTTTTAAAAAAAACACTGCTTAAATTAGAAGCAGGGGGTAGGCAACAGAGCCACATGCCTTTAATCCCAGCACTGGGGAGGCAGAAGGCAAGCAGATCTTTGTGTGTTCAAGGACAGCCTGGTCTACAGAGCAAGTTCCAAGACAGTTGGGGCTACACAGAGAGACCCTGTTCTCTGGGGGGGAAAAACAATAATATAAAAAAAAAATTAGGGGCAGGCAATATAACCCAGCAGGTAAAGTATTTGCTGCAAAGGACTGACTAGCAGAGTTTGATCCCTGGAGCCCACATAATGGTGGAAGAAAAAAACAAACCCAACACAACTGTCCTCAGACCTCCACACATGTCTTGGCATGTATGTTCCATATTACACACACATGCACAATGATGATAGATAAAATTTAAATCTTAAAAATATTGACTAAATTCTGCTACAGTGGGAGGTTTCACAGAACATCCTCTGATCAAGGCCCTCTGAGCTTGCAGCCATGCTGGTTCACAATGGAGTCACAAAAGCCTTAGCTCAGCTAGAATATCCTACTGAAAAAGAGACCATTTTATAAGCCTTGGGATGGATAATTCAGACAAATGGTGAAGCCACGGGTAAAGACAATTGAAAATGGCTAGTGTTGCTCCAGAATGAAATATACATCTGTCCCATGAGGGATGACAGAGTGGAGAGTGTTCAGATGTGGGGGCAGCCCTGGGGGCAGTGTGGGGTCTCATGGCTGTAGGCCCTCTCCAGCTCTGCATCTACGATTAATGTCATTACCTCTGTGATCCCATGCACCAGAGGGGGACACGTGGAGCCCGAAAGGAAGAAGAAACGCTTTAATGGATGGGAAAGGCAGCATGAACAGGAGTCTAGAGTCATCTTCCAGCTTCAAGGTTCCGATTTGTGACTGCAGGTTCTGAAAAGGAGCCAGCCGCTGGCAAACCTGCACAGCTGGCAGAATGCAGCTCAACCCTCTGTCTTGGGACACCTGGTAGGTGTGCAAGGTGGAGTGGAAACGAGGACAGGAAGGGCATCTGAGGGGTCAGGGTTTAAATAAGCTGTACATCCTCCCCCCAAAACACACACTGGACAATCACACATGCTTGCGTATTTCACAACATATGCACACAGGCTCACACCCACACATGTGCACTGAACAGACACATGCGCACATATGCATACATACTTGACTTCAACAGCTGGATTTGAGGTTAGTAACAGAGACAAAGACCCAGCAACTTTAAAGCCTGATTATTCCCACAACCACCCATTCCCCTGGATGCTGGTGGCAACAGTCTATTATTGGGGACGTAGCTGCCTCCTGCTCCTCTCCATGGCCTTCACATCTATAGAAGGTTCATGGTAGTCTAAGACCCTAACCTCGGAGCAATTGCCATTGTGTCATTCAGGAGCTGGGGGACAGAGGACAGCCATCACATATGCTCTGTGACTGTGGGTAGAGCCTCTGACTGTCTCTACCTGACGTCCACCTCTTCGACCCTTCTTTAGTCCCAAAGTCCCTTTCCTCCCGCTGTATGCTTCCCTCCCTTCAATGCTAGCAGAGAAGGACACCGGTTTTTGTCCTGTCCCCATAGACCTCTCATTACTAGGCCCCTACTCCAACTGCAGCTGCCCACACCCTGGCAAGTAAGCGCCTAAAGCATCCAACTCGGTCTGGCGGATATTCTCACACTCACCCTTCCTGCCTATTCCACTTGATACCCACCAGTCAAAATGCCCCTTTCTTCCCCAGCTAAAATTTGTCTGTCTTTTGCCAGGCTCCCTTGACCCTCAGACATCTGGCCTTCCTCTTGGTCTGATACCTGACCACAAAAATCAGCTCACAGACCCATCTTTCCTTTTTGTTCCTCTGGAGCTAGAATGCCCTTGTCAAGGTCCTGGAATATAGACTTGCAACTTTGATGAGAGCAAGGAACATCATCCCTGATGTGGCTCCCCTAGTTATCATGTTTCTAGACACTCTCCTTTCTCTGTCCCTTAGGAGACATGGACACCACGGTGCCTGCCCCACGCCCATTGAAAGGGATCCTCACTTCACTCTCCAGGACCCTACTGCCAACCGTTTTTACTGTAAGCCACCCATTCTCAACAGCCACAGTATTCAAAGCCAAAAGAAAGAACCAAAATAACCCTGGAATGTTTAAGAACAACTGCTCTTTGCAGTTTGGGGTGTAGCTCAGTTTTTAGAGTCATTTCCTAGTGCGCACAAAGCACTGGGTTACATTTACTGATTAAATGGGATGTGGGGGTGCATGCCTGTAATCCCACCACTTGGGAGTTAGAACCTGAAAGATCAGAAACTCAAGGCTGTCTTTTGCTATGTAAGGAATTCTTGACTAACCTGAGCTGCATACGGCTCTCTCAAAAGAAAATGAAAAAGGGAAGGAGGGAGGGAGGGAGGGAAGGAGGGAGGGAGGGATGGAGGGGAGAAGGAGGAGTGGAGAGAGAAAGGAAGCAGGGAGGGAGGGAGGGATGGATGGATGGATGGATGGATGGATGAGGATAGAGGATGGGAGGGAGGGAGGGAGGGAGGGAGGGAGGGGGGGGGGGGGGGGGGGGGGCGAGCGGGACGGGAGGCGGAGCAGAGAGGGAAGGCGGGGCGAGCGGGAGGGGGGGACGGCTCTCTCAAAAGAAAATGAAAAAGGGAAGGAGGGAGGGAGGGAGGGAAGGAGGGAGGGAGGGAGGGAAGGAGGGAGGGAGGGAGGGAGGGAAGAATGGAAGGAGGAAGGTAGCAGGGATGGACAGATGGGGGATAGAGGGGGGAAGGAAGGAAGATTGCCTTTGCCGTGTGCCCCTACATGCAGACAGCCATCTCCATTCCACTCCAACCCTTCCCCTCAACTTTTTACACTGAACAGACTCAAATAAATTACTACCGGGACCCATCTGAACATAATGCCCATGCCTTGTTCTCCCCTTGCTGAGTGATGGGTAGCAGATGTGGGGGACACACATCTGCTGCCCACAGGTAGGAGGGCTAAGCTGGTCCTTAGTTCTTCTCCCCACTCTAGGCACTCTCTCTCCTGGGAACAGAAGATCCTACCTGCTTAACAACTCTTCCAATTCCACCCAGCAAGAGTCCCTGGCTGCCCCCATGGGACTGGAGGATAGTGCCCCCGGTGTTCAGGTAAAGTTAAGGACTCCAATCAAGCCCCAACTCATGTCACCAATGCAGCATCGTCTAAAAAGATCACAACCATTTAAAAGGACTATGATGCACTTACTACATGCTAAGCACGAAACTAAGTCCTTAGTTCAGATCTTCTCAGGAACCCAGAAAGGGGACTATTTGCAGGTAAGAACATTGCAGCTCAGACAAGTAACTTTTAAAAAAAAGGGGGGGGGCGCTGGAGAAATGGCTCAGAGGTTAAGAGCATTGCCTGCTCTTCCAAAGGTCCTGAGTTCAATTCCCGGCAACCACATGGTGGCTCACAACCATCTGTAATGAGGTCTGGTGTCCTCTTCTGGCCTGCAGACATACACACAGACAGAATATTATACACATTATAAATAAATATTTTTTTAAAAAGTATTTA